ACTTGGCCAAATGCCCTGGGCCAAGTTATCACAGAAAACGTGTACACCTCTTTGGGTAGGTTTCTCTTCCAGTGTCTGTACAGATACCAACCTCTGCTTCTCAGACTGTTGCTGGATTCCATAAACATACTCCACTTGCATGGAAGCCAGTCTGGAGTCGTGTTCACAACAACTTGTTCAAGGCCTCTAGTCAGCATCCCCTGTGACTAAACATTCACATTTTGCATGCATCTCTGACCCATCTCACATTCCCACGTGCACTATGTTTAACAAACGCTCACGCCGCAAGTAATGTACCTATCACTGTTCACTCCCGTCACTATTTCAGTTCCCCTTTTTCCTCACTTCCCTGCTCACTATTGCAGATTCTCCTCGAGCTCCCAAATGTTCGTTATTTACTCTTGCTATCTAATCTGTATTAGACCTTCTTGCCTGCCTCCTTGTTTATGATTTAGTCTTGTGCTTCAGATTGTTGCTCTCCTGCTTTCTCAACCATTATCAGACATTCTTGCTTGTTTCCTAGATTACGTTTTAGCCTTGTGATTTGGATTGGAATTCTCTCTCTCTCCTGAGTCCTCCATACTCCCTTTCTTGTCTCCTGTTTTACCTTGGCTCTGGGATGTAACAGTCCACTGGTTGGCAAGCCAAGAGGCCAATGCACTGGACAGAGAAAAGAAAGGGAGCCTCCTTAGTGTCACGATCGCAAACCCCTCCTCTTAAGGGTGCTCCAGCCCTTCCTCATTTGCATCACTCCCGCCACCTGTTCCTTGTTTCTCTCCGGTTCAGTTCGCCTATATAAACCAGGCGCGCACCTTACTCGTGGCTCTGCATCTGATTTCCATATCGTGCGAGCCCGGGACCTGGTTGTGCCTGGTTCCATTATGTTTTTAACTTCCTGCTCCTGTCCTTGTTCCCCCCGCCAGTCCCGACCCAGCACCTGATTTTAATCTCCTGTTTGGATGGATTTCTCAGCCTTGGACCTTTTGCTTTCGTTTTTGGATTTCCCCTTTTGGATTTATTCTGGACTGTTCACCTTGGCCACACCTCCCCGGATCACCAGCACCAGATGGACACGCCGCCCTGTTCATCCCTGTTCTTGCATGACTTTTTCCTAGTGTATTCCTTCCTCACTATTCTGGATTGTGTCGTCCGCATAGGGTCCAGAAAGAACTGTCCGTTACACTTAGGGCACAACTGTGCTTTGACCCATAGGCCTTACTGAGTGGGAGGGTCTCACTGAAACCAGCAAGGCAGGAAATCCCCACTCAGTGGTCCAGTCAGGACCCAGGGACCGGTGATCCAAGGCACACACCCCTTATGGGAGGTCTCTTCCGAAACCAGGCCTGGCGTGCACTGTCAGCTCAGTCTCCCAAGTTCAACTCTTTAACAGAGGCCCCTGGGTGCAAATGGAATTTGATACCTAGGCCTCTTCAGGAGGCCCCCACTGGACCAAAAAGGGGAGACATTGTCAGGAGTCCTCAATGAAAAGGTATATGGATCCTGTGCTGACACTGGAGTAGATAGATGACAAGGCAGGCGAACAATCCAATATGTAAGGCGAGTTCGTGGTCAAAAGGAAAAAGGTGATTCAGAATCCAGGAAGTACGATTGAAGCAAACTATCCCTAGCAAGAGGTGAGGTTGTGGTCAAAAGGAGTAAGGTAAGTTGAAATCCGGGAAGTACACTGGTGGCAAACAATCCGAGATGAGAGGTGAGGTCCAAAGTCGAAAGGCTAAAGGGAAGTCCAAAATCCAGAATAATACGAGGTATAGAAAATGCCAGGAAGAGCTCTCAACGAGTAGACTCAATACCGAGCAGCAGAAAGGGTTAGGATGGTTAAAATAGTGCTGCTCCTTGTGGCGCTTGTTATTATTAACCCGCTGCTGGTACTGGTTAGTTCTTTTGTGAGAGGATCTCTGCTGGCTGGTGGTCGTGACAATACCCCCCCTCATGGGCGGCTCCGGACACTTGAGACGGCCGATTGGGATAGTCCCTGTGAAAATCACTGATGAGCGTAGGGTCCAAAATATCATCCTCCGGAACCCAAGATCTCTCTTCGGGGCCATAACCCTCCCAGTCGGCTAGATACTGTAGGGTAACATATTGCCATCTGGAGTCGAGGAGCTTGTGGACTGTATACACCGGGCGCCCCTGAATGAGACGCGGGGGTGGTGGGTGATGTTTGGGAGCCGCAGGGGGCGAACGGTGGTAGGGTTTCAGAAGGGAGACGTGGAAAGATGGTTGGTGCTTGTTATTATTAACCTGCTGCTGGTACTGGTTAGTTCTTTTGTGAGATGATCTCTGCTGGCTGGTGGTCGTGACAGACATCTGCAACGGACACGAAGCAATTGACCCATCCTCAGTTCTCTCTCAGTTCTCTGAGTCCAGGTGCAGCACAGCTGCAGAGGGGGTCCTAGTCAGAGCCAGAGAACTAGGAATCTTCAGAGAGCCCATGCTAATGTAGTGATGCTCTCCAGTCATCGGGACAAAAACAGGATGTCTGGCTCCCTAGGAATAAACAGAGGGTTCGGATGGAGTGCTGGAAAGATACTGGAAAAAAAAGAGAAAGAAAAGCTACTCAGACAGCCCAAGAGAAAAACGTGAGGAAAAGAAAAGGGGTCAGTCAACGAAAAATTAAAGTGCAAGGGCAGGACCAACTAGAAGTAAAACAACAGTGCTAGGCAGAGGTAAAAAGGCTGCATGGGGAGAGCCCTGGGCCTGGATGATGGAAGCTGCCTTCTAAACATAGGACAGAATTACAGGAAAAGGAGGCCAGCGGAAAACTCCAGGGTTCCAGGGCCGAGGCCATAAACCTCTGTGCAGTCAGGAACAGGAGTGCAGAGTGAAGTCCTGAAGAAAACGTAAACCAGAACAGAGAGCTGCAGAACTGGAGATCAGAAAGCAGTAGAGCAAACAGGACAGGGTGAAATGAACAGTGTCTAAGCACTGTTGAAGTGGTTCCTCAGCATTAAATAGAGAAAGAGAAATTAACGAATAAATTGGATAATTGTTAATTAAGCTAGATCACCAGAAGGAGATCCGGTTTGTGCAACAAGCCCTAGATAACCATGAGACCTCTTTAAAATGTGACAGTTTCCCAAGTAACTGCTAGCTGAGAGATCGGAGTGCGATCCAGGAGTGTTAAGAACCAATTGCTGAGCAACATCAGGGAAATTTTGAGCAGTGTGCTGACAGCAAACACCTAACCTACACATTACATGAACAGACTAAGCCAGGGTTGCGTGCACTGAGAGTGTGTTGTTGCAGCAGACTGGGAAAACTGAGCATGGTGCAGGCAAAAGTCCAGGGCTGAAATCTAATTGAACCAAGGGTCATAATTGAGGAAAATACAGTGGCAGACAAAGCTGAGAAAGATTTGGGAGGTAGGTCAAGGGTCCAGACCGAGTTCAAAGCCAGAAACAATCAGCAAACAAAACTGAGGGGGTGATCCAGGAACAAATCAGGAGTCAAAGAACAAGCAAAGCTAAGGAGAGAAAAAACTCAGAGACGATACTCGAGGGGCTCAAGGTCAAACTCAGATGGAGCCCTGAGTTCTGTCAGGTCTGAGTATTTATTCTGAGGAGGAACTGGAACAGCTGTGGTCTTAAAAGGCCTCCATGTGCTCAGAGTCTTCAGGTGATTAGTTTTTTTTGGCAGCCATAGAAAAGAGACAGTTCATGACATCACTGGCTGCTGTGCCACAACTAGCTCACCCTGAAATTCAGCAGCCAGGCAAGCATGACACTCTGCCTCAGTGATATCATGCCCAACTGTAATAAAAAGGGTCAATAAAATTGTCAGTGAGCCTGTAAAGTCATCACCAGCCTAACATCCCAACACTGCCATACATAACCAGGGGGCAGGGTGAAGCTCACTCACTCGCTAGATTTATCTCATGATCCTAATTGCATAGCTAATTTGAAAAATGTGCTTAATAACCTTCAGTACGGTTTCATCCTGTTCTTTTTCCATGCAAGACCCCATCAGCCAGACCAAATTGCGAATAAGCAAATTAATTAATTTAAAATTTTCAGATGTTGTGACCATACCATATTCAAAATCCTCAAAGGCAGTGATAAAGTAAACACAAAGATTTTCTTCAGCTTAAAAAATGAAACAAGAACCAAAAAACATACATTTAAACTATGTTGAAGTGCATTCAAAATCTAGGACAGGAACCACTTCTTCATCCAATATGTCGTGGGAGTACAGAATAGCCATGTTGAAGGCAATACCCTGGCTTCTTTCAAGAAACTGCTAGAAGATAGTCTTAGATCAATTATATACTTAAATATCAGATTGGTTAGATGGGCTAAGTGGCCTTCTCTGGTTCATAACTTTACTTAAGTGTTCCTGTGTTGTGTTTTTGCACGACCTAGATTACAGTCAAAGGTTCTCACCAAGGGGTGACCACCAACTTCTCCAGCCAACTAAGAGTTCTGCTGAACTGTGCCATGACACTTTCACTTTCCTACTAATACTGGGACAAAAGAGGGCTTTCAATGAAAAGCTGCAGACAAAATGAAAACCAAGCAAAGGACCCTGGCACAAGGGCTGCACCCAACTGATTGGTTGATTGATCACAATGAAGCTGGACTCCTTTTTCAGTGCTATAAGGACTAGACTAAGGTAAGTCAATATATTTCAGGAAATGTTTGGTAACTTTTGCAAAGACAGTTGATTTTTTTAAACAATAATAGTTTTTAATGTACGCACGTGTTTATACGTTATAATGAAATCATATACATATATGAGAAGACTGATTTATTAGGCACTGCTGCTTTATTAGCATATTGATTGGTAATATTGTCACATTTTTTAACTTGCCAAACACAGCCAAAAACCAACTTTGAACTTTTTTTCTTTTGATGCTTTTTCTACTGAATATTTTTTTTTCTCTTGAGGAGTTAAAAGTGAAGAGGCGTTTCGTAGTATGCAATCAAATAATAACAGCCTACACGATGACGAAAACAAAACCAAACGTAGAAAAGAGGAACAGGTTCACATGTACCGTATTCAGTTACTCAATCGAGGTTGAAGCTTGTGCATAACGAAAAAGGATAACGAGCCGAGGCAAAAGGTGAGCATGGACGTTATGTTTTGGTTTCTGTATAATGATGAATAAACCTTTTATAAATAAATATGAGAATACATAATAATTGTCGAGCTCTTTATTCCTATCGAACTGCATCTGCCTGTACAGAGACTTTCTGCTTTCCCACTTTCTACTACTGCCCTTGTCGGTCAGTTCTTATACAGTATCACTTTCTGCGGATTTACGAAAATATAAAGACGTTACAAATCTTAATTGAAATTAAATATTTATTCAGCCTCTACACAACAGATAACAAGATAAACCAATCTTATTGGGGAATTCAAAACGAATTAATCTTGAGTCTATTTCCGTCAGCAAAGCCAGACTCGATGTTTTTTTTTTGTTCTTTGACTCAGTTGTGTTCTGTTGAACAGAAATTAAATGTTTTTTTATTCATTAGATATATAACACAATATTTAAAACTTTATTTAGAGGTTTAATGAAGTGATTTATAGGTGGTGTAATGTTTAGATGCCAAAATGTTTGTATTCTTCTCTTATTAATCAAAATTTACTTTCTAATAGTCCTTGGAAAATATCTCTTAAATTCGTAGAAGGCTAGGAAACAATGAAACGTTTCTTACTGAAGACACCAGTATGTGTAAAGCTCCTGTGGGATAAATTACTATGATGTTTATGTAAAGCTTATTTTATCAAGGCACTTTTTGCAATGCGCTTTCAAAAGACTAAATACAGTAATTATGTTTCATCGTTCTTGGCTACTGTTTCACAATACTTTGGTTTCCAAAGACATCTTAATGAGTTGGTTATAATATGCCATGATGTCTATCAGTTAACTATTTGGCCTTCATCATCTTGAAAAAGATTTCCCCACCCACTCACTTCATGTGAAAAACTGAAATATTCTTGTGACATAAACGATCTTGTGAAAAGCCTCTTGAACCCATCCTAATGCAAAATATAATTTCAGATTTGTTCTAATTTGGGTATACTGTTTTCACAGAGGAAAATATGTATATTCAAAACTTTTTTGACCAGTTATTGCAGTGGAAACTTACATATTTACCAATTATGCTGTTAGAAATCTTATCCACTGTGTCTTTGGTTTTTGACGCGCAGAGTAATAATATCCTACTGTAGGTGCTATGGTCTGTGGTGTTGAGAAAAACCCCAGGTATCAGTCACTCTTTAGGTCAGCAAATTCTTTCTGTATTACTAGCAAGAGTGGGGAATTTGGATAACTTCATTAAGTGTGTTTTATGCTTAGAGTGTTTGTTTTGTGAAGCCTGTTTTTTTTGTTTTTTTTTTCTTGGTAGATTAGTTAATTGTTATTATGAAAATATATTTGCTACTACTTATTGATGAGGTAATGTCAATCAGCATGAAATAAAGTATATATTTTATTCACTTTCTAAATAAATAATAAATACAAATTGTAAAAGTATTCCCCTACTTCCTCTGATGCCCCATTTAAATTTGAGTTATAAAAGATAAGTATACAGTACAAATAGTTTTAATCATACCCTGAATGCTCTAACTTATTATTTTTTCTAGTTAAAAACCTAGTTACCAAACACTGCAAAAAATAAAAAACTAAATTATATTGATTGCCGAAGGCTCTGTTCAAGTATGCATACGTGAGGCCTTGTGCCTTCATATATGTGTTCTCATTTAAGTCTGCAAGGGCTTAGGTCAGGGGTGCCCAACCTTTTTTAATGTAAGATCTACTTTTTCATTTGCCAGTCCAGCATGATCTACCAGTATGAATTTGAAGCTCTGATATAGGAAAAACAGACTGTGGGCATATCAGTACAATAACGATACCCAATGACAACTAAAATAATACTAAAATAACACTAAAATGACAACAAATAAAAGCGAGTGACTCATGCTACAGTGAACAAGTAATGTTCCCCATTTTAGAAAAAAGAATATCCTATCTTCATATGAGCATTGGCACTGAGAAGCTTACTTGGGAACACTTGTAGTTGTTTTTCTTTAACGTGTTTACACTGCTGATCGTGTCGATGACATTTTAATTGTGTCCCTCCAACTTGACATTCAGCTCATTCAGCAGTTCAATCAAGTCTGTGAGGAATGCTAAATCCAGATGCCACTGGTAATCCTCTAATTGGGTATATTCACCATGTTAAGACGACTTGAGAAACTCTTTGATTTCAGGCAACAGCTGTCTGAACCTAGCCAAAACTGTTTGTTTTTTAAATCTCCAAACAGCAAGTCAGCAGCCTCAGCAAACGCTTTTTTAAAATTAATTTCTTGATCCCTGAATGACTTTTTGTGTTTAGCCAGGAAGTGGCTCACACAGAAATATGCGATGGTTGCCGCTTTCCCTCTTGTATTAGGCCTCGTGAAAACCGACTGCTGCTAGTTGAGATTTTAATTTTTCCATTTTTCTTTTCCGTAACTCACTTTTAGCGGGTACAAAAAATAATCATGCTCCCATTCCTTGTGGTAACGGTACGTTTTCAGTCTGTTTGCTTTATAATTTTCGCTCAAACACTACAACTATAAAATAGGCAATCAAACTTATAATAATAATAATAATAATAATAATAATAATAATAATAATTGCTAACACTTATATAGCGCTTTTCT